TATCGAAAGACAAAATAAATGATACATGTCTAGAACACACAATTTTACTTTTTCAATTACTCTTAGCTGTTATCAGATTGATCCACTGTAGCGACTTGATCGTCTTTAATTATAGATTGTAAACATAAATCATATGTACTAGTGTAACGACATCAAAGGTTAAGGATCAAGCAGATTGAAATACACTTGTTTTTATGTGAAAATTTTTAATCTAAGCATTTCATGATTCACTAGACTACTTATACTTCGTTTTTGAATCAAACAACACATACAAACAGCTTTTCAACGACCTTCTGAAATACTTAATGAAATACTCAAGGATAACAAAGTTCAATACAATGAAACGCTAAAGTGAAGTAATAAAAGAAATATTAATAATCGTTTTCATTTTGTTTCGTTAACATTAATATAACAGAAAAACTACACTATCTATCTCACCAAACATTTCCACAGTATACTATATGTTTGATTATTATTCATTGTATGATCAATATTTTTATACACAAGTCACTATCACAGATTATATGACAACAACGGAATATTTACGAGAAAGAATAAAATCATGAATACATTTCACTTAACATAAGTTTACTTGAAAACCAAACAGTGCTTGTCTTTCTTCTTTAAGAATTTTCTCTAGTTCAATTAAACATTTCATTCGAGATATTTTACTTTGGTTAGATACTGCGTAGTCTAAGCATTAGAAGAAATCGAATCGAAAAAAAACAAAACATCATTCGATCCACATATTTATAAAATAAACTCAGTTCCGCACTCAAACAATAAAAATAGATTCAGTCAATATATAGTTTTATGATAATATTTATCTATATTTGTTATTAAACTAAAAAAACAGCTTTATCGAAAAAGAAAGAACTGTTTCATAAAAAGACAAATTAAATATTGAATTACATTACGGAGTAGCACTTTAAAAACTCCGGTTAGATAACACAAAAGAGATCATTATAAGAATAAACATTGTCACAGAATAATAAGAACTGCATATACTAAAAAACTATTGCCAGTTAATATTTATTTTATATATGACGATGAGAGCGATCCTGCTCTGGATGATACCTCATTTTTATATGAATCTGAGGAATATGTGATTCATTAATATCAGTATCTGTTTGTTGATTATTATGGGCAGGTGTAAACCATAAATATCTTTCTTGTTGAGAATAATCTATTGTTGATTGATACTCATCAACATTTGCTGTTGGACGAAAAATAGGATCATTATTACTATGATGATTTCGTGAGATACTATTACCATCAGTTACATTATCAACATAAAATGAGGAAAGATCACTAGTGCCTTGATCTTCATCAAATGGTTTAACATTTTCATCTATTGCATTTTCTTCTTGATATTGATTGTATTCTAATCGATAATACTAGAGAGAGAAAGATAAAAACAAGGAAATAACTGACTTTAACATACAACAAAAATAAAAGAATACTTCAAAAGCTTGTTTTGATAACATTTTTGAATGACATAAAAGAGCACGAATTCGTATCATTTCTGGTCGACGATTTTCTTCAACAAGACATTCACGAATAATTACGTAACTATTGAAAAATTAATAAGTCATTCATAGACAACAAATAACAAGATATTTTTACATATTTCGAGGTATTTCTGGTTGATAATCAATATATTGAAGAACATGATCTTCACTGATAATGCGAGCAAGTTTATGAAAAAAGTTTTCTTCATCAGATCTATTTCGTATTTCTTTCATTAAGTTATTAAAGGGTCGAATTCGACCTTAAAATGATTTTATAGAAATAAAGACAAAATTAATACAAATACTTACATTTAAGAAATAGTTCCCAAAGAAATATTCCAAAGGACCATCTATATATTAAACTTATAGAAAAGTCAATAGAAATAAATTAACTTACACATTAGATTTCATTGATGATTTATTCAATAATAATCGCTCATCAAGACTTAATACACGTAGAAAAGCTCTAGCAAGTTCTGGTGTTAAATTATGTGTTACAATTTCATTCTATTTCAAAAGAAAAAGTTTATTCTAACATTGCTGTACAATCAATAAAAATAGTTTTGTTTAATATTAAGTTTAAGTGTTCTCAAAAGGATCAATCAAAGATCAAATCTTAAAATCTATTTATTTGTTAAAGACTTATTCCAAAAATAATTTGTTTTTTATTGATGATAGATTATACTAGATAGATGACAAGAACTGACAGTAGTCTATAATCTATCTAAAATAATACAACTTCTTTCGTGACCCAAAATTCTTATTTTTATTTTTTTTCTAGTCGTTGTATAGTCTGAAGTAGTATCTATCTATTGAATATATTTTCACATCCAAAGGTTGACTTTAAATATTAAAAAAACCAAATTTATGAAATGGGAATAGTGAATCGCGTTTTCCTCAAACCAACTTTTTCATGGAAAAAAAAAAAGCACAAAAACGTCTCTGTTTTTTCGTCCTAGTACATCTCATCGAACTGGAACTTTTTCACATAAACTCTTCTACAAAATAGAAGCTCGCCTCTGAGATTAGAATTTTCAGGATAAAATAATGGTTTACCTCGTACAAATCGAACATATATCAATAAAAAATGCAAAAATATGTATAATCCTATTAGTGGATGGAAAAACTGATTTCAGCACAAGTTTTTTTTTTCAAGGTTAAATCTTGCGAAACAGAGGCGCCCTCAAAGTTATCTATTCTATAGAAAAGTTTATACTATGTACTGTTTGGAATGAGCACTTTTTTTATCTCAAAAAATATTGTTCTTCTGATTTTCGGTGGTTTTTTTTTTCATACAAGCATGCACTTTTAAGTATTTTCAATATTTTGACTTTTCTATTTGAAGGACAAGAAATAAAAAGGTATCTAACTCAAACAATGCATGGTACCTAACACAGCACATCCAAGACAGCAGTCAGGATGAAAAATATTGCTCCACTCGTCAAAATCTACTTGCCCTGAAAGTCTCAAAATTTCTCGATGAACTATTGTCTGCGGTAACCTCAAAAACAAGAGACTTTTAGGTACAATTGATGTGTGTATTCGGTTCTTCTGTTCACTGACATTCATACACATTCTTAATAAATGTTTTAAGTTAATGAAATGATTTTGGTCAGATGAAATGATTATTATTTTTATTGAACTTTGTCTTATCAATCAGCTAGCTTTTAGAGAAACATGTACTATCTATGGCCTCTATCCTATGAATGCATTTAGTGATCAACAGAAAGTTTTCTTATAAAGAGTAAAAGTCAATCAATATAACATATCAAGCAATATTAATTTTGCATACATACATTCTTCTCTTGAAATAGTACACTTTCATTTTGTACAAGTTGTTCACGATAATTTTTATAAGTTGTCCACGTAGCTAAACTAAACAATGTTTTTTGTTGTTCAAACAAATGTAGAAATTTATACATAAAAATTTCTCACCCAAAATCACATATTTTCATAATAAATCTTGAATTAACTAAGACATTTCTTGGTGCAATATCACAATGAATTATTTGTTTTTGATTTAAATAATCAATACCACAAGCAACTTGATAAGCAGCTAATTTTAAATCATCATCTGTTAAAATACATTGTTCATATGCTTGTTGAATTGTCATTCCTGGTTCTTTTTGTTTTGAAAGTGTTTCATATAATGATAATTTTTTATGTGTTGAATTTAATGATGATTGAAGGAAATATTTAAGCATAGATTCAAGTGAACCATTCGAACATAGTTCCATTAAATAAAACGAATCTTCATCTCGAATAGGTTCACCAATAAATAAAAATTTTAATTTTGTTTCAGGATAAGCAACTTTTTTTAATGCAACAATATTTATATGTTTACCAGCTTTATGCATAAGTTTTATTTCTTCAATCAACATTTTAGAATTATTTTTCTTTTGTATTTCATGTTTTGATATCATTTCTTCATTTTCTTGAAAATAATGATGAATTTTTTTTCGTTTTTTTCGACGATATTTTATTGGACGAATCGTTTCAGGTAAAACTTTAGCTGCAACAAGACCAACTTCTAGTAAACGTACTTGATAAACAACACCGAATTGGCCACGACCTAGTTCCTTAAAATCATCTTTTGCTAATGGTAAATGATCACCACTAACATAACTAAGAAACGTACGAATTTGTTGTGTTGAAGCAAAATTATCTGGTAATGGAATTTGACTTAATTGACTTATTGCTGGTTGAGATTTATCTTCTGGACCAATGGGTTGTTGTTCATGAAAAATACTTGCATTAACTTTTTGTTTGATTTGAAAATATTTTATAGAAAGAATTATTAATAAAATAAGCATAAGAAGAAGAATTAAAATACATATAATAATCAATATAATTGCTAAACGACCTAATTTCGCATTGGGTGCATTAGTACCTAAAGAAGATATTCAAGAACATACGAAATATTGAAGATTTCCTTTTACTTTGTACACGTAAATTAAAACTTCGTTCAAGCATTAAATCACGACCATTATTTAACATACATGTATAATAACCAGTATCAGCGGTTTGAACATGTGTAATTGATATACTAACGTAGATATAGATTTTATTATATCGAACAATTTTATTCTGTTGTAAATGATACAAATTCATTACAAGAGTGAAATCAATTTTTCATTTTACTTTAAATGTATGACGAACTCATTACAAGTGTACCTTTTCTTCTTGAATAAAAATCGCATTGTTCTTAACCTTGACAGGTGATGATTTTTATATGAAGTTACTTTAGAAGGAAATACATTTCATATTCGATCACTAGAAGATTAGTAAGTAGGTATACGCAATTACACTTTCGATTCTTATATTCTAGTCCGTATGACTAAGAGAATCTCCTTTCCTTTTGCTAGGGTTTCCCAGGAACAGCTCGACAAAACCTTATGAAACTCTCAAAACAAATAGATTTGAATAAGTAGAGCAAAATTTGTCATAGACTTAAAGTTTTCAGATAGTTTCTTTAAAAAAAATAACGAGACTGCAAAACTCTATACTTCATTTTTCGAACTACAATTTTTCTTTTATTGACCATTAGCATCATATCGGGGTACGTGTTTCTGTTTTTCTTTCAAAAGTATCGTTGCTAAAGCTCAGGAGAAGCAAAATGCTGGAAGCATCGTCAAACAACTTGTTTTATTCATGGTACTAATTCTTTAAAGGTTGTCAAATTTCATAGGAACAGCATTTTGAAGAAAAAAACCACGTCGCTTTCCTCCATTTGACCAAAGTACTCAGAAAAGTGTGGACTTTATTGAGTATACTGTGTAGGAAAAAAGAGGGCAAGACTGTTTTTTTTTTTGTTCAAAACTTGATTTTGAGAAAAATACAATACAAATTTTCTTGTATGTGTCAAGCCTTTTTTCTTTAACTAAAGTAATGAAAAGCTAGCCGTGTTCAGTGGTGTAAGAGATCCATGACCTAAACTCATAGCATCTTATGAAATTATCATTAGGAGACTTTTGCATACAATGAATAATCGTAGCGTGAGTTTTTCTGATAAGAATTTCGACAGTTGAATTCGATAAAAGGGCTAACTAACGATGAAGAGTTCTCATTTGATGGAAGACACTTCGAAGTTATAGCAATACTCGAAAAAAAATTTGATTTTAACTTCTGGAAAGGAGAGAAATCTTTTTCATACAAACACATTTTTTTTACCTTTCATTGTTATCTCCAAATTGTAATGTCAAATCATGAACATCTAGTGGCAATATGCCTTTTAACCAAATTATTTTTGGTTTTGGTCTTCCATTAAATTTACAATCAAATTCAACATTATCACCCAATTTTCGATCTAATTGAGATACTGTTTGTAAATTATTTTTGAATTGTAATGGTGCCGGATCTACAGATAATCAAATTTACAAAAAAAAAGGAACCGATAAACTTAATTTCAAATTACCATCTACATCGATAATATACGTATCATCTCCATTCGAAATAAAATTTGGTTGTTTAGATAGACCAATACATTGAAAATATTTATTATTATCATTTATTCCTAATTGTGATGTTTTTATTTCAATTGCTGTACTTCGAATATATTCACTAATATGATAACATAGTTTTGAAAAAAATTCAAAAAAATCTAATTCAATACTTCATTTTTGCATTCCAATTAATATCAACTTGTTTGATTTGATTAGTTCCTTTAAGATGCCATTCATGGTCAAAATGACTTCTTTCATATGTTAATAAACCATCATGATAAATCATTTGAAGATCATTATAAATTAAATCATGACTATCACAACGATATGCTACAACATCACCTGTAACTAAACTAAATTCTGGTCTATTGATATGAAACATATGACGATTATCTTAAATAAAAATACTTTTTATTCTTATAAGAAATTAAATATTATCTTACGTGATAAAACTGTTATTGCTTTAGCAACACTAACTAAACCATTTTGTTTATAACAACATAAATAATTATGGCCGATGGATGGATTATCAAGTGTATGAGAGTTACTACTTATGAATTGTGTTTGATAATTATTTATATGATTTGATGTACTACTGATTAAATTTTTATTTGATGATATTTGACATGTATCATAGATTAGACTCGATAGACAATTATCAATTAAACATTTAGAATATTGAATAAATATATTTAATGGTCGTTTTATATCGGAACGATGACGAATAGTACAAACCATACGATAGGATTCATTTGGAAAGATACCATAAGAATAAATATTTAATTTATTTTCATTACGCCACGGAATTGAAAATGGTATTTGTTCAGGAATAAATGAGAATTGACCAATAGGATTACCTTTGAAAAGAAAAACTTAGAAAAAGAAACTATTAATATCTCTCTGTTTCGCACCGATTATATTTGGTTTAATAGTTTCTGTCTTTTTTAATTTTGATGAACTAACAGTAACATTTAAATCTGTTTCATCATCAAATGTGACATTATAAATAGTTAATCTATATTCGAAGTATTGATTTTCTATATTTATTCTAAAATAAAAACAGAAAATAAAAATCTATATAATAAAACCCAACAGTACATATATAAAGCGAAGAAAAAACAAAAGACTTTACGAGATTTTCAAAGACTTATATTTTCTATAATAAAATATATTGAAAGTATATAAACAAACAATTTGTTTATTGTTAATATCAATTAATTGTATGTTGAAGTCTACTTCATAACAGAGATGTGAATGTTTTCTTTATTTCTGGGACATGAAGATATTGACTGACTAGTGGAAGTTTTTGAAAACATAATACTATTTATATTTATCATTCATTCATAAATAAAATGAAACTGAAAAAAAGAAAAACACTCGTAGAATAAATTTGTGGTTTTTATATGAAACTACCAAAAAGCATAGTGTATCACAAGAGTTAATCACAATCAACTGTCACCTTACACTATGTTTTTGACGATTTCATATAAAAATCGTAAATCTTATCGACTGATGAAAAAATATTCCTTTCAGAAAGTGTGTATCAAAGAGATATAAGGATTCATATGTTGTACTGTAGTGCATAGAAAAAGTGCGGACTCCTTGTTACGGATATTTTTCTTTATTTTTGCACCGTTTCGTTGATGAACAGGCGGTAAAAATAAGTTATACATGATTTGAAAAATAAAAAAATTCTATTTTTTGTAAAAAAAAGTTTTCTCGACATTCTTCTATTGAAAAGATTTCACACTCCACTGTTTTCCTCTCGATAGACATACTAGTTGATAGTTATTTAGTATGAATAAAATTTAATATACTTACATAGGTAATATTTCAAATCGTTTATCATTTGCTAATGACATTCCATTACGTGATATTTCGAATACAACAGGCGAACGTGGAATCGTAATCATAGTTATATCATAAATAGCATTTGCACCATAGGAAATTTCGTTACCAGTATTTGATTCACTTAAATCGATGTTAAGATTAAGTGAAGGTGCTAAAAACAGGAATACAGTCAATTTTCAGAGATATGTGATTTTCTATTAAGTAGATATTAAAAAAAGATATAAATTTATATTTTAGATAAAAGAAAAAGCTGATATTCAGGATTGATTGAAAATGCCTATCTGAGATTGAGATCTATTCTAGAGACATCTAATGTGGCTGAAAACGTGTCGCGTCTCCGTAACAACTATACTATAAAAACATCTTCCAAGACGTAATGAACATCTCGAATCTATTCATTTCAAACAGAAAATTCAATCATTTCTACTAAATAACGGACACAGTTAAATTGAAATCACAACTTGAAATGAACTTATCCAATATGGGAACTCTTTATAAATTATTACTTGAGTGCCGTTTTGTACATATTTATGATACATACCATCAACACAAGTGATAACAATAGAATGTGAATAAAGTCCATGGTCAGATACACGTACACAATAAAATCGATAATTTTTATTTGGTTTAAAACCACCTAGTACTATTGAACTATTTCGACTATATACTAGTGTTTTACTATCGAACACTGGTTTTTCTGTTTGATTGGAGATTAAATTAAGCTAAAGAAGAAAAATTATTGTTTTAAATTTTGAGTATTTATTAAATGAATATTTTTACATTATAAATATCTTCGAACCAAAAAAGTGTTGGCGATTTTTGATATAGATTTTGTTCATATCGAATTTCACAAGTTAATTTTAAGATTTCATCACTCGTAACCCTTAAATTTGATTGATGAATTTGTACATGATCAGCTAGACATAAAAGAAAATCGAATCAAAAATAAAAGTCATCATTATTATGAAAATTGTGACTTATACGACTTAATGAATCAAATGGAATTTTGGATTCTTCATTTGGGGTATAATTATTCACACAAGTAAAATAAGTCAATGTATCCGGTATTGTTGGATTTTCAAGTGCAAAACCAATTTGTGGATCAAAAAAAACTTTCTACAAAAGAAAAAAGAAATCGAAACTATAAGTACTTATTCTCTAAGATGATAGAAGCTGACCTCTCTTATTAAATCTGATGGTGTATAATAAACTGGAATACATCGTTCTTGTCCATTACATATAGGTATATTACATTTAACTTCATTTATTTTACGTTCTTGTAAATTACATTGACGTACCTTACATTGTTTCCCATTGGATGATATTGGACATGACATGCTTGAATACCAATTAGTAGTTTGACATGGTAAATTAAAAAAATGAATACCCGTTTGTTTAAATATTTTTGGATAAAGTCTTTTAGTAAATACAGAACGCTCATCTAAGAACATTTATTGTAGAATTATTAACAGAAAATATAGGAAATATATTATACCTTGAATAAATACATGAACAGTTGTTTCATGTTTTCTACCATTAATTATTTCTGAACATGTATAACGACCAACAAGATTTGTATTGAGTTGATTTCTTTCTAATTTAGCAGTGATTGTATGAGTTTTATCATCAGTAGTGAAAGATAATTCCTAAAAGAATTGTTTTATTTGTTTATCAAATACTAAACCTTTTCATCACTATTCGAAACTGAATAGAGCATAGATTTATGCACAAAGAAACTTTAATTATTGCTACCAACAATATACGTATTGTATGATCTATTAAATTTCACGCTCATTGTTTTTAATGGAAAAATATCTTTCGAGCACCTAATTAGTTATATGTGAAAAGAGCATCAAAAAAAGGGTGAAATGAGCACCAAAAAATAAGACAATTGAGCACCGAATGAGAGAAACAAAGTAAAAAAGATGAGTTGTCTTAAACAGATAGAAATTAAAGCATACATGTATACAATCATTCAATTGTGATAAAGTCAACTCGAATTGACGATTCTCATGACGATTTACTGATCAAGGGTACAGAATGAGGGTATGTATTGGTGTGGTTATAGAGTAATGAGATCTACGTCCTAACCCTCATCCACACGCCCACCTTCACCCTTACTCTCACACCTACAAAATAGTATCTTGGGTCTGAGTGGGGGTGTGGGTAAGGGTTAGGACGTAGATCTCATTACTCTATAACCACACCAATACATATCCTCATTCTGTACCCTTGATCAGTAAATCGTCGTGAGAATCGTCAATTCGAGTTGATCTTATCACAATTGAATGATTGTATACATGTATGCTTTAATTTCTATCTGTTTAAGACAACTCATCTTTTTTACTTTGTTTCTTTCATTCGGTGCTCATTTCACACGTAATAAATTTGGTTTTCATTTCACCCTTTTTTTGGTGCTCTTTTTACATATAACTAATTAGGTGCTCATTTCACTTGTTTCGTGGTGCTCAAAACACTCCCCACCCGTTTTTAATGATGAAGATTAGTATACTCGCACCAATAATTGGATAAGGGAAAAATTACGGTAAGCATATGAAAGACACTAATACAAATAGGATATAGATACTAAAATTAATATCTATACAGTACTCTAAAGTTGGGATGGAGAAATCTTAAAAACAATTGCCAATGTTTGATATGTCAATTGCAATTTTTATTTGTTCTACTTATATTTTATATTTTTTTTTTACTATTAATTATTTCATTTTTTCTACATCGAAGTAATCAAAATGAAGCATTTATATTGTATGGTGATGGAACATGTGAAGGGAAAAACAGAATTTATCAAATCTTTGCATGCATTTCGTAGAGCGAAGATAAGTTAATCTACACTCTAAAATAAACGATTTCCGAGAAAATCTTTATTTTTTGAGTGTAATTCAAGTACTTAATACAAAAAATGCTTATGAACAGAAAACGTTCGTACATCTAAAATTTATGTATGCATGTAATTTTGAATGCTTAAGCTGATGAGCTGTATCAGCATCTAAACATTAACAGAAATCAAACTCACGACAGCACAAGCAGCAGAATAATGCTGTATGTCGCGATGTATCTTTTTAAAGAACTTTTAAAGGCATGATAGATTTCAATAATCAAACCGTGCCGGATCGTCTGTTAAGATTTAGTTTAGTGACCTACTTCAATTGCAGATACCGGAACAGTAAAATTAATTGATTTATGTGACCCTTTGCATCGTAAAAAATACGGTAAACCATGTTTAATTGCATTTATATGAAACTGAATTTCACGCGGAATGATATAATATCGAAAGATTGAATCGATTGAATCGAAATCTTTTCTTATACGTTCTTCGATATGCTCATTGAAAGGATAATCAATCACAGTACCTATTCATTAAATATATAATGATATTTAAATTAAATGTTGTTATTTACTTTCAACCAAATAATGATTAACATACGTGATACAAATAAGCAATATTCGAAACATATTTAAAAAGAAATGAAAAATTACTCAAGCATTTATAAACGATAAGAGAGCAAAAGAAAAAAAGAAGACAAAAAAACCATTGATTTGATTTTATGTATGTTCTGTTTTATGAGAAGAAAGATTGATTTGATACTTATTTATTATACCTGACATCTAGTGATCGCGATCAGTATTCGTTGATTACATATTGTATATAATATTTTATTTAATTTTACATCGATCAATTACGTTCATTTCCTATTTAAATAATCTATATTGGAAACTATTATGTTAGTCAACAAAATATTGGTTTCAATTTTTGAGAATCATATTTCATATAAAGTGAATATTCAGACATCTCCTTCATAAGTTTTATATAGGTTTCTATTGAATCAATAAAATCAAAAAAAATTTTGTGTGTTTAGATATGAAAAAACAGCATAGCAACCTTGAAAAATGTCAATTAAAAAAAGAATATACATATAAAAATTATGAAAACTTTGTAAAATTCTACTGTTTCTATTTATTCAAAAAAAAAATAACAAAAAATAACCTTGACACTTACGACATTATCTGTGTTTAAACGTCGATATTATTGTATACTCTACTAAGTGAGTAGTTAGAAAATTTAGTCGTTTAATATTTTACTATATCGTAAGCAATAATATTACTACTGTTATTTAATATTTTCTTAATCTATAAATAATACGCAATGACCCTGAAAGCTAGTTATTTAAATCGTACGAATTACATTTTCATAATTCTTGACATTAAGAAAAAATAACTCTATAGATGCTTGCAATTGAATTAAAAATGATGATTAGGTGAACTTCTCAAAAGTTGCTTAGAAAGAGTTGATCAAAGATCATCATTAGGAAGGATGAAGTACGAGTCTTTGTCTTAAGCTTTAATTTTCGTAAATTTAATGAGTTTCATAAGAACTTGAAAATTAGAAGAGTATATAGCTATCACTATATAAATCATGAATTAGTTCAGTATATTGATTCGACTTAGTTTTGAGAAAAAAACGATCATCTTCTATAGAGATGTACAGGTCAAGGTAAACCTACAGATCTCTAATTTCCCATTGGTAGCCGAAAAATGTTTTTTTTTGCATTCTCTCTGAAACATACTTCTCATTTTGGTTTTAACAAATAATACTGCGATGAAAAAAAAAACACGTTTCATAATTGTTTTAACATGAATAGGTTGGAATTTATAATATGTTTTTTATTCATATTATATTCTTCTCAGCTGGATCTGTGTATAAGAAATTGTTTTGACTAAGAGTCTAATTTTTTTGCTCTCGTTCTGCTCTTCTTTGTATAAAACGCAATAGGCTTTTTATGTGATATTATGTATATATATACACCATGAGAAAAAATCTCCTTTCCTCCTCTCCTCTTTCTCCCTCCTCACCCATGTCTCTGATTCTTTTGGTATCAAACCCCTTTGGTTCCAATTGAATGTTAGTCATCAGAATAGCTTAAGTATTGTATTTTAGTATTTTGTATGATTGGTTATAACCTCCCTCCATACAGAATGTACGTCATAATAATACAATCAGCCAACACTACAAATGAATTGGTTGATAGAATCTTCATATCTAGGTTATCTAGTGATATTTTCTGAATGTTTCATTAGTTTTACTTTATCTATATTTGTATAATCGACTACACCCCATTCTCCGAAAAGCTTTGAGTTGGGAACGAAGAGAATTTAATAATCTAAATCAGTATAATAATTAGTAGATACTAAGAAAGAATGAAGAATTCTGTTAATTAGCTCATTTGTAATGTTGTTCAAGTATCTTGAAAGACATATATTCTTCATTGAAGCAAATTGTCGTCACAATAAATCACTTAAGTTCTTCTTGCAACTATCATTCACTTGAGACGAAAAGAGTTCTATATAACAAGCTTAAAGGAAACGAAGAGAGCGAAAGACTTTTGTTCAGAAGTGTATATATTCATTTTTTTGTATATTTAAAGATAATGAATCAAACAAGCAATATTCCATTAGTTTCTGATGAAGATCTTTATCCAGCTCTTATTCAATGTTTTTTTATAATTAGTGCTGGTTATATAGCTGGTCAATTGAATCTTTTAACAAATACTCATTCAATTGGTCTTTCACGTTATATAAGTAATTTTGCTTTACCTGCTATTATATTTAAAAATCTTGTTGATGTACAATTTCAAAGTGTCTCATGGCAATTTCTTACAGCTGTACTTATTGGTAAAACCATAATATTTTTTTTAACAATGATTCTAACATTTATAGCTGAACGTCCAAGAAATTTTGCTAATATGGGTGAATATGCTATAATGACAACACAAAGTAATGATTTTCCATTAATATATCCAATAATTGAATCTGTTTATAAACAAACTCATCCTGAATTTGGTCGATATGTTTATTTAATAGCACCTATACAACTTGTTATACTTAATCCAATAGGTTTTTTCTTCATTGAATTACAAAAACGTTTTGATGAACAACAAAAACATCGAGGTAAATCATGGAATAAATTTCAATTAATTTCAACAGTTTTTCGCAATATAAGTCGTAATCCAATTGTTATATGTACATTACTTGGTGTTATATTTAATCTACTATTAAAACAACATCTACCATATTTAATAGAATATGTTCTAACACCAATAGCTCAATCATTTAGTGCTACAGCATTATTTTATCTTGGTTTAACAATGGTTGGAAAATTAAATCGTTTACATGCACATCTTGTTATTACTGTTTTTCTTCTTAGTATGATGAAATCAATTATATTTCCATTAATTTTACGTCAACTTGTTTTTTTTCTTGTTAAACCAGAAAATGAAAATTTAAATTATACATTAGATTATTCAAATTTAGGTTTTTTATATGGAACAGCACCAACAGCACCATCAGTCGTTTTTTATGTACCAGAATCAAATTTACCATTACAAGCTATTGCATCAACTGGACTTGTTGTTTCAACTTTACTTTCAGGACCAATTATACTTGTTTCAGCTAAAATGATTAATTTACGTACACTGGATATTAAAATAAGAGAATCATATGAAATATTATTAATGAAAACAAAATATGATGTTAGTATAATGTCATTATGTTGTACAATTATTGTTCTTATTGGATTTTGTTTACGACATCGATGGTTAAAAATATCATTTATACATAAATATACATTGATTTTTGTTGGTCTACAAATAATATTAGCTATATGGACAATAGTTATACATCATGTTAAAGGTTCTTTATTATCAACAACATCACCGCTACTTGATATAGGTAAATAAATAAGAAAAATTAATAAACATATCTGATAGTTTATAAGTCAAACTTCTGATAAGAATATGTGTCATTTTAATATACTGTTTTGATTATTCTTTTCATTTTTTGCCTTGCTCAATACTTTTAAAGATTCTAATATAGTGTTCAATTTTGTGATCGGACATATTTATAACTATTATACATATATGACACACTGACCCTTTAGAATCCTTCATATGGTCTTGATTTCATTCAATAAATATATGTTAACATATCCCATGTTTGATTGAAACTGAACAAAAACCGCTAGTAGATTGTTTAATATAATGTGCACTATACTGCCAGTAGTTTAACACTTAAATGGCCGGCTAAACTGTAACCGTCATTCTACCACAGTACACCTATAGCTGTTCTTTAGCCGACAATCTATTGTCGACATACTGGTGATAGTACGAACACACGTGTAACATAAGATATTTACTTTTTCACATTTTCTTTTTCTTACGTAAAATACATCACTTCTTTCATATTACTGCTGTTGCTAGTAAGATGCTCATAAAAAGTAAAGATAATTGTCATTATTGCTTGCCAGAGAAGATAGAGATCACTCAAAAGAAATAAACAATGAAATTTCTCAACGGTTATCAGACTAATGGCAATGATTCACATACACACGATGTTGGTCATTGTATGTTTTCAAACTCAAGAAAATTCTCGAATTGGTTTAACTTTAAATAAATTAGAAAATGTTTATAGAAAATCATTCGAAATGATTTTGCATGAAAAAAAACTGTGTTTATTCTTCTTCAATCTAATTAAAAAAAAACTTTAAATAACTAATTTTTTTTCATGATGTCGCCAATGTGATAGAAAAGTTCTAAGATAGTCCTTTTCGGGGTTTCTAAAAAACGATTCATCAGAAGAATTTGAAATTTTCAAAACAGATGATCTTGAAGAGTAGAACAAAATTTGTCATATACTCCAGGTTTCCAGGTGCTGTCTCCTATGAGATATTAGGATCACAGCGAAGAAAAGTGGCTCCCATACGGCTATGTACTTCCGGTTTATCGGCGGTAGTGCGAAGAAAAAATTTAAAATCAATTATAATCATTGTTTTGTTTTTTAGGTAGTATTTTAATAGCCTTAACTACTCGAACATGGGCAACAAGTCTCTCAATAGCTTTAATGATAACTATTTGTTATTCAAATCAATTAGCTCGTCGATATTCTTGGATATATCATGTTTTTGGATGGACTGTTTCATTATGTATATCATTAATAATTTTGTTTTGTTCATCAAGTGATCGATCAAAAGAAGCTTCAATATTAGAAACGGAAAAATTTGGAAAAATTCAAATTATTCTTTCAACAGTTTTACTTGTTATATGCATTTTAATTAATACAATAAGTCTACTTCGTATAGCTCGTCGAACATTTCGATTAAAACATGATTCGATTAATAATCGATCCCATAATAATATTGATCATTCAAATTCTGGAACGAATGAAATCCGACCATTAATAGATGATGATGATGAACAAACAGATATACGACCTATTATTCCTGCAGGTAATTTTTTTGATTTGATTTTGTTTTTCTTTTTATTGTTTGAGAATATTAGAAATCAAACCATCAGAAGCTGATACACAATTATTTCGTCATGGAATACTTGTTGCTTTATTAACTATTGATGCTATTATTGTAAGTCGTTTTTTTTCTCTAATATGCTACAAACAGAAAAAGA